CTCTATGTGGAGATGGCGACAGCCCAGGAAAAGGTAAACGATGTACCTTTTGCCTTGTATTTTTGTTTGTTAAGTGTTATTTATCTTAACACTTTGGTCCTCGATGTTCGCAGACTGTAGAGGCTGGGAACCGGCTCTATGCTCGACTTGAGCAGAGGCCGCATGTCCCTCGTCCGGAGGAGATCGAGGAGATGGGAAGGTAGTCGGCAAGCTGAAGTCCGACCTTGAGGCCGCGAACGCGCAGGTCGCTCGCCAGACTACCCTCATTAAGCAGTTCAGAGGCCAAAAGGCTCACATCACCGATTTCGAGAACGAGCTGGTCGACAAGGGCGAGAAGTTCAAGGTTGCCACCAATCAGATCTTCGAGGCTCAAGGTGAAGCGGTACAAGCTCACCATGAGGCCACATATGCAAGGGAGGAGAATCTCTGTTTGATCCGCGAGTGCGAGGGTGCAATCCGCCTAGCAAGTCGTGAGGCTCGGAAAAAGATGTCCTGGAGGTTCATGGACGTGATCAAGGGCTTCAAGCTGAAGTGGGAAATGAAGAAGGCCGATGGCATGGCCGAGTGTGATCTCCAAGAGTGCATCGCGACCATCGAAGAAGAGCTGGAGAGGGTGAAGAAGGACGAGGAGGACTTGGGAGCGGCTTTTAAGGCTGCCCAGGTCTCAGACTTCTCGATCAGCAAGCTGAAACTCCTCGTGATCTCCGAAGACTCGGTAGCTATGGATGTTGACCCGTTTCAAGCGCGCCCATTGGTCTTAATAAATTTGGTACTAATGTGGAGGAAGGAGGTAACAACAAAGCAATGAGGGAGGATGAGGACGAGAAGGCGGGTGCTTAGCTCGACGGCTGACCGTGGCTCCTTTCTCTTTCCCTTCCTGTTTTAAATTTATTTTTCGAACATGGTTTCCCAGCGGGGCTTTTACGCTGGTTCTTGTGCCCGGGAGGGCTTTAATCCTTTTTATTTTCGAACTTATCCGTGCCCGAAAGGGCTTTTGTTTAATGCAATCGGGCTTTAGTCCTTAGATTTTATTTATATTTATCTCTTGCATTTGCTTCGTTCGAGTAAGATTTTTGCTAAGTTGTTTAATAACTTAGAGAAGTAGACTAGGATTATCGAACTCGAGGTTCAGATGGCTGGTCGTGGGTTCAGTGCCCGAGTTACTAGCTGCAAGCTCGCTGCTCGATTTATCGGACTTAGATAAGACGATTAGGTCGCGGATGGTGATCCGTATATTTGAAGAAAATGGCTAAGTTTTTTAGCTCGACTTTTCTTCAGTCTTTAGAACATGGATCGAACTGCTTCGTGTTGAAGTTTCGGTGTCCGAGGTGGAGTTTGCTTTCTTTTGAACTAGGCATTTCTCAGTTTCAGCTTTGAGATGGAGAAGGGGGTTCGATTTTATTCTGAGTTTCCAAACATAGGGCTCAGTCGTCCCTGGCAAACTGCGAGCTGCGTTGGGCTCGTAGGCTCGAGGTCCGGAGCTCCGGCTATAGTTGGGGTCGAATTGTAAATCTGACCGCACCTGTGAAGTGGAGTAGGACTCCGAACTTACTTGATTTACGAAATGAGAGATGTGTACCTTGTGTTGTTTAGAAAAGGCATCTAGGATAGGTGGCTCCCCCTCCCACCCAAAGGAGTGAGGTACGTGTGTACTGTAGCTCGCTTATGTCAAGGTGTGAGAGATTGGGAGTGCTTGGACTTCGAGATCGGTTAGATAGAACTTTACGCCCCCCCCTTCTCCGAACGTGATCAAGAGCTTCAAGCTGAAGTGGGAAATGAAGAAGGCCGAGGGCGTGGCCGAGTGTGATCTCCAAGAGTGCATCGCGACCATCGAAGAAGAGCTGGAGAAGGTGAAGAAGGACGAGGAGGACTTGGGAGCGGCTTTTAAGGCTGCCCAGGTCTCAGACTTCTCGATCAGCAAGCTGAAACTCCTCGTGATCTCCGAAGACTCGGTAGCTATGGATGTTGACCCGTTTTAAGCGCGCCCGTTGGTCTTAATAAATTCGGTACAAATCTGGAGGAAGGAGGTAACAACAAAGCAATGAGGGAGGATGAGGACGAGAAGGCGGGTGCTTAGCTCGACGGCTGACCGTGGCTCCTTTCTCTTTCCCTTCCTGTTTTAAATTTATTTTTCGAACATGGTTTCCCAGCGGGGCTTTTACGCTGGTTCTTGTGCCCGGGAGGGCTTTAATCCTTTTTATTTTCGAACTTATCCATGCCCGAAATGGCTTTTGTTTAATGCAATCGGGCTTTAGTCCTTAGATTTTATTTATATTTATCTCTTGCATTTGCTTCGTTCGAGTAAGATTTTTGCTAAGTCGTTTAATAACTTAGAGAAGTGGACTAGGATTATCGAACTCGAGGTTCAGATGGCTGGTCGTGGGTTCAGTGCCCGAGTTACTAGCTGCGAGCTCGCTGCTCGATTTATCGGACTTAGATAAGACGATTAGGTCGCGGATGGTGATCCGTATATTTGAAGAAAAATGGCTAAGTTTTTTAGCTCGACTTTTCTTCAGTCTTTAGAATATGGATCGAACTGCTTCGTGTTGAAGTTTCGGTGTCCGAGGTGGAGTTTGCTTTCTTTTGAACTAGGCATTTCTCAGTTTCAGCTTTGAGATGGAGAAAGGGGTTCGATTTTATTCTGAGTTTCCAAACATAGGGCTCAGTCGTCCCTGGCAAACTGCGAGCTGCGTTGGGCTCGTTGGCTCGAGGTCCGGAGCTCCGGCTATAGTTGGGGTCGAATTGTAAATCTGGCCGCACCTGTGAAGTGGAGTAGGACTCCGAACTTACTTGATTTGCGAAATGAGAGATGTGTACCTTCTGTTGTTTGGAAAAGGCATATAGGATAGGTGGCTCCCCCTCCCCCCCCAAAGGAGTGAGGTACGTGTGTACTGTAGCTCGCTTATGTCGAGGTGTGGGAGATTGGGAGTGCTTGGACTTCGAGGTCGGTTAGATAGGACTTTACGCCCCCCCCCCCCCCCCCCCCCCCCCCCCCCCCCCCCCCCCTCCGAACGAGTGTGCGATGATGTGTGAGCTTAAGCTTGCTAGTTACAAGGTGTGGGTGGGCGGGCTATGTGTTGACCTTGAAGACGAGTTGTGGAGCTTCGATTTTGTTTTAACGTATTTCAGCTTATAGATGTATGACGAGGGTGATCCAAACCGTTTTGGTTCGTGATCTCGTTTTTGACAAATATAATTGTTGTTGAGTAAATGAATTATTATTCCAAGTAAAAATAAGAACATGAGATGATACAACGTAGGATCGTCGCGCGTAGCTCGCCTATTGATGTTGTCGTGTTGTGGAATAAAAATTAGATATAAAGTGGTGGCTGAACTCGTGGGTTGAGCTGCCTACGTACCCCGTAAGGGGATCAAGCCATGACGTAGTTCGATTGTTTAAAGTGCTTTTAGAGATAATACCTCTTGAGGTTCATTACGTTAAAATGTCTTATCTCGGACACCCCGTTTCGTACTTTCGTGAGCTTGTAGATGCCGTCGTGAACTACCTCAGTGATGCGATTGGGACCTTCCCAGTTGGTTCCTAGTTTCCCAGCACCGGGCTCTTTGGTGTAATCTTGTACCTTCCGTAGGACCAAGTCTCCTACGTTGAATCTCCGGTGTGTGACCTTGGAGTTGTAGTAGCGAGCTACGGCCTGCTGGTAATTTTGGATCCTGATCAATGCTTGATCTCGACGTTCGTCGATCAGGTCGAGCTGGTCCCTTAACAGCTGCTCGTTGAGTTCGGTGTTCGTCGGGCACAGGGTTCGACGAAGACTGGGAATTACAGTTTCTGTTGGGATTACAGCTTCCAGCCCGTCGATAATGAGAACGGTGTTTCGCTGATTGCTTTGTGAGGTGTGGTCCAACAAGCCCATAGTATGGCCGAAATGTGTTCGGACCACCTCTCTTTCTTGGCGTCAAGCTGTCTCTTGAGATTGCTTAAGATGGTTTTGTTTGTTGCTTCAGCTTGCCCGTTTCCTTGTGGATAACGAGGTGTGGAGTAAGAGATTTTTATCTTCCACTTCTCGCAGAAGTCTCTGAAGTTTCGCGATATAAACTGCGAACCGTTGTCCGTTACAATTTCATAGGGAAGCCCGTCATGGTAAATCACGTTTTTCTAGATGAAGCCTCGCACCTGGAGCTCGGTTGTTTGCTGATAAACCTTAGAATTGGTTTATGGTTATTGTGGATACATAAATTCATACTCAGAAATTTATGTGTTTTTGTAAGGGAAGAAACTTAAGGAAATTAAGGGCTAGATTCTCTCGAACAACTTGACTGTATAAGCAAGCACTAACTGAAATAAGAACTTTGTATTAATTGGTTAAATGAAACGGTTACAATGATTTCGATGAAAGGGATGAATAGAAAAGAGCTCCGGGAGCAGTTATAGAGTTTTCAGGTATAAAAATGGTGTCAAGATCAAGCCGGAAGAAGAAGAAGATCTTTTAAACTGAGCCGTCTCCTTCCTTTATATAGTTCGCTTTGTCGAGCTTCGAACTCCAGCGCGTATCTCGGCCACGTGCAGCAGCTTCAGCCTGAAATCTCGCCACGTGCAGCAACTTTCTCCGCGATCTTCAGACTCGTTTGAACAGGCGAAAATATGCTCTGACTTGACTCGGATCCTTTCTTGTTTTTCGGAATTCGGTTGAGCTGTAGTTCGACTTCGTCGAATGGAATGTTCTGTTGTTCAGGATTGGATCATCGAGGGTGAATGGATCTGGACCGTAAAGTCAAAACCCAGTCGATCTAGCTTAATTTGGATCTGTCTGTCAGACTTAAGTGGGCTGGATTTAAAGTGCTAAATCCAGCTCTAACAGTTATGAATCCTAATTTCAGCTCAAGAACAATCTCTACACATACATTACATTATACAGTATATGATCAAGATTAAAAAGGGAAAGATGAGAAAACTCATGACCAACTCTTAAACCAACTCTGTCTACAAATTTAACCATGTCTTTATATTCTCCAAATTTTAAATCCTTTATTTGGGCCCATGTAAATACAAATGGGCCGAACACATCTTATCTCTCTCTCTCTCTTCGGCTCCCGGCGAAGCGATTCACTTCCATGGCGGCAGAGCAGAATGCTCCTCCGATGCAGCCTCCGGGTACGGATATGACCGTTATTAGTTTCAGGGATCAGCTATGGATCAATTCGTACCCTCTTGACCGTAACTACGTCTTCGACTACTTCGCTTTGTCTCCGTTTTACGATATCACCTGCAACAACGAGATGCTTCGTAGGAGATCCATTCACCCTCTCGACCGCTCTCACCTCTCGTAAGCTCCTTACTCGTTTCAATTTCGATTTCGATTTTCCCCTCTTTTTTACTTTTGCTCCATCATATTGAAGCACATCTCTAAGGTTTCAATTTTAGGTTTTGGCCTCTGTTTGTATCCTGAGAGGAAAAACCCCAAATTGATCACACTACATTCAATTCCTCTACAGGAAGATGACAGGACTAGAATATGTGATCAGTAAGCTCCTTTTACTTGTTTCGATTTCAATTTTCGATTTTCCCCCTTTTTTACTTTTGCTCCATCACTGGTTTAGGAGCCATATTGAAAGCTCTTTCTTCAATAAGATCATTGCTTCTCTTCTCAGTTCGATGTGATGTAAATTGTTTCTGCTTCTAGGAGTTAACTTCAGAGTTTGTAGATGCAAAGTGTGCTTAGTTGACTTATATCAAGCTTATTGGCCAATGCTGATCAAGCTTATGGGCTTTATTTGTTAAATTTCCTTTTCTTTTTTTCTCAGATAATAAGAAGGATTGGCGAAGAGAATATGTAAAGTGCAATCCCTAGATTCGTTATTCAGATTCCACTCTCTCTGCCGCTCTCCAATGGCGATGACGACATTCAGAGATCTTCCAAAGGATTTGGTAGAGGATGAGATTCTGAGTTACGTTCCGGCTACGTATCTGAAAAGATTGGGATGTACATGTAAACGATAGAACCGTTTGTTCAACGGTGATGGGAGATTCGCAAGAAAGCACATTGAGAAAGCCGCAAAGCAGTTTCTTGTTCTGATGTTGATGTTGAGGAAGGACTACAGGATTTGTCCCATAATCGTCAATCTCGGCGGAACAGTTCCATCTTTTGAGGTAAAAACTGAGCTTAGCCTGGTGGATCCGCTGTCTTCAGGTCAATTCGATGTAGGTGAAGTGTTTCACTGTGACGGCTTCTTGTTATGCTCCGGAACCCGTTTACCGGTGAAACCAGGTGGTTCCAACACAGCAAAGGTGTCCCGTACCGCACCTTTGTTCTCGGATACGACCAAGAAGGCAACAAGAAGAGCTACAAAGTATTGAGCTGTGATTGTTTTCGCAAAGAATATGAAATCTACGAGTTCAGCTCTGATTCGTGGAGATTCGTGGAGGATTCTCGATGATATCATCCCTCTAGGCTGGAGCATTGGATACGACTTGAGCAGGGTGTCTTTGAAGGGAAGTACTTACTGGTTTGCTGAGGATAGAACAAAACCGCAAGCCAACCTGTCCTTGGTCAGATTTGATTTTGCAACAGAGAGAGCAGTACCTGTGCCTCTTCCGTACCAGTGTGATAGGTTGGAAACTACAGGTCTTTCGAGAAGCTCTCGGTGTTGTTAAAGCGCGATGCTACATCCAAGACTGAGATATGGGTGACAGATAAGATTGATGAGACCTCCAAGGGATGTCTTGGAGCAAGATCTTGGCACTGGATTTGAGCCCTGGTATTGAAATGCATCCTGGTCTAACTTTCTTGCTCGACGAGGAGAAGAAAGTCGTCATGATTTGTGAGACCTGGTATAACTTCGAAGACGAGCCCGGAACCAGGAGCAACGACATGATATACATTGTTGGGGAGGACAATGAAGTCACAGTAAAGGATTTTGGAATAGATACACTTGATGGATGTGTGCCAGTTATTCTTGATTATGTGCCAAGTTTGGCTCGAATCGAGCGAGCTGGAGGCAAAAAGAAAAGAATGTAATCTCTTTTCTTGTTGTTGTGTTTTTATATCATCGAGCATCTCCAATGCCTGCATCTTGGCCGGTTCGAATCAAGCGAGCTCGAGGGAAAAGGAAAAGAGGTGACCTCTACAACATGGAGTGTTGTAGACTCTTTCTGAATGTAAGATGCAGGCATCCATTGAAAATTCATTCGCGTGGATGTGACACAGTCCTTTAACAATCGACCTCGTGAATCGACGCTCTTCGAATTCCGGCAACGCCTCGCTGGATCTCTTAACTATATTTCCCAAATTTCCACCGGAGGGACTTGCTTTAACTTCACTGTCTTTGTAAGCCTGCAACTGAATCTTTAAATGAGAAATTGATTAATTTGGGTGGTTTTTAACGAATTAATGAATCTGCAGCAACCAGCTATCAATGTGCTCGAAGAGATCAATGATTTTCTTGAATCAAACTTATCTGAGATTATTACCATCATCCTCGAAGATTATGTCAAAATCTCCAGGGGGATTGACTAAGGTAAGTATATTGTGCCAAAGTTTTTTTTTTTGACACATACTGTTTTTATAGTATATATATATATATATATATATAGGAGATTGGCTGGCACGTATGTGCGGACATAAACAGTTTTAAAAATATAATTACTTAAATATAATATTTAAATCCATCTCAAATATTTTAATTTGTTGTAGTATATGAAACTCGAGGCCAATGTTGAATTATAAAGATTTAAATTTAGTAGTAAAATATGATCTGATTTTAACTAAACATTTTGTTATAATAAAAGGGTCATTTATATTTTGAGACAGACCTAACAAAATAATAATTAAATTTGAAAAACACAAAAATTGTATTTTTTTCATAATTGGGCTTTGTAAAGCTTAACCGCTATCTTACAGGGTCAAATGGGTATTCAGTTACCTGTTTTGGATTTGCGGATTAAGCAAACATACCTGCAAATTTTATCTTTTTGTCTTTTTTTTTTTTTGAACAAACGTTTTTCATCTTCTTTGTCTTCCTGTACTAATACCTTCTCCGACTCTTTTTTCTTCTACGATATGAATCCTCTTCTTTGTCTGATTTATTTTGCGCGTTCGTTGATGGAAAAGCGACAATTAGTTCTTATAATTAGCTGTTGTTATTGGATCTGCGTATTACCCTGAAAGTGACCTCGTTTGAATAGAGAGTAATAGTCATGAGTTCTGTATTTCAAGTAAAACCATATGCTGCTTCTTGTTAGAGATTTATAAATCGTATTCTTTTGTTAGAGATCTGAAATTGACTGTGTAATTAGATAAATCCTATTTTAATTTTGATATTTGCTAATCACCTTTGTGGAATTTTTCTAGGAATTAGGCTTTTTTGTTTGTGTTACTGTTCATGAATTTTATGAATTGGTTTATAATTGGGCGAAATGATCATAAGCTGCAACCTCTTTTTACTGGCAAAAATGCTGGTTTCCCCTTTATAATGGAAAAAGGTTCTTCTTTTGTGTTGTCTTCGTTTAAATTTCATCTACGTTGTGGTCTTTTGAGTATGTTGAAATTTAGTTGACATTAAGTATCGGATTATGCTAAATATATATTTGTGTATATGAAAAAACTGATAATGTTAGGTTCATAAACGATTGTCTATCTATCTCGATTAAAATATAGAATAGTTTACCAAAACCTAAGTAAGACGAGACATATCCTGGAGATTTGTTGAATTGATCTCATTACTCTCCCAAAGCCCTAAGCCTTCCCTTTAAGCTGTTATCTTTTTCTAGAGTGTGTCTACCAGATACTTTACTGTTTTGGGTCTATTTAATTTATGAGCTTCATTGCAACATGTGGTCACTTCATTACTGTAGCTTTTTTCACAACTCCCATATCATGATTTGGAAGAATCATTAATTAGTACTTTCATATTCCACAACACTCAAAAATTTGGCCAATATATTCAAGAAACTAATGTTGATTCCAGTATGATCAATTCAGTATAAATTGGATATATGATCATTTCAGTATATAATAGTAGAAGACATAAGAACTTATGAGAGAGTTTGTTAAATAGTTTGGTCAGTGTTTTTATTTCTATGTTTCTTCTCGATTATAGAGTCTACCAGATTTTATTTTTGGTAAACTTAATCTTCTTTCATTGTTTTAAATCTAATAATTATTCTTTAGAAAGCTTCATCTTCACTTTTATTTTGTTTTTTACTCTGTCTATTTTCTTGATTGAAGGGTTGTCGCCTTTCTTGTTCCAATTTATATTAACAATTAAATATTTTATGTTTTTCTGTTTTCATAAAATAATTATTTCAATTAAAATAAATTAAACACAGAAATATTTTTTGTCATATCATAATCCACATATGCTTGCGTATGCCAAGTCACAATTACATCATCATTACACATCATCATTTCCACATCACATTAAATTATGTTAAATTGATATTTTAATCAATGAAATTAAAACAAATAAGCATAATTTATTAAACTAAATTGTTAATTAATAGGTTGGAGATATCTAATGCCAAGAATCAAATCTTGTTACTTGTAAAAGGTGTTCAAAGCATCTAGATTGAGTAAGTTCATGTTTCCGGTTCGAGAATGCCGAAAGACGCTACGGACTGGCCAACAGTGGATGATGACATGGTGAAGCAAAACCAGAGGCTTATGGTTTTCACTTCCAAGAAAAAATAAAGAAGCTTCTGAAGGTTTTGCTTACCAGTGGAATTACATGGTGGAGAATCAATGTGAGTTTATTTTTCAATGATCTTAAATATCAAACTTGATTTGAAGACCAGCTTAACAAAGATGATGTGTTTGTGTTGTTATGTGGTGGATGGTAATGATGGATTGAAGGATGGATCATGCTCGAACCGTAATGAATCTTCTCCACTGGATACCAAGTCTCGTTCTTTGGTTCTCCAAAACTACTTTGGAACAAATCCGAATTTAACGCAAGCTTGCGCTGATAATTCATCTCCGTTGATCGAAATGGTTACAACTTGCGATGAAGCAGCGGGTAAAAGGTGGCCTAACTTCATCGCCGTTGATTTTTACCAGGTGACAAATCCAACATTTTGTAGAGGTGATCTTGGAAAAGTATGTTCTAATTGTGCTAGTTGATGTTGTTTAATCTCAAAGGAGTGATGGTGGAGGAGCTGCAGAAGCTGTAGATGAAGTAAACGGTCGTGTCACGTGTGGTTGTGACAGTTTAGTCCTTTGCAAGGTACAACACATTCTTCTTCCTTGCGAGCAGAGTCTTTTCATCTCTTCAGCTAATGACGAAAGTGTTTTCGCATATATAACAGTCAAACGTACCATTTGGAACATGCGATGCTCCTGCTCCGAAGGCAGCTCCGACACCAGTCGCCGGAGGAGAGTCTTCACGAAATCCTAGGAGGGATCTTCCGGGAGGTGATGCTGGTTCTACAGCAATTGGCTTCTCATCTCTCGTTATCATCTCTGCGGCGACTCTCTTGTTGTGGTGATAGTTTCTCAGTGAGCTAAGTTTGTTTTGATATTGAACTGTAACTTGCAAGAGCGGAACAATGAGGAATGCTATTCCAATCCAATAATGAAATTGCGGCATTAACTGCATATTTACTTTTCATCTCTGGGAAGAAAACACAAGGTTCCATCATCTTTCATGATAAGGTAGGTCCAACAATTTTGTTGTCCACAAAATTTCGCGTGAAACACTTGGCACCGAAGAATCCACGAAGCTTTCTTTCTTGCTTATGAAGTCAATGGAGTCAACGTTCTCTGTTAGTACATACACAGAGCCTCTTTGTTAATTCTTCATCCTCTCTTACGAAGCTCTGATATCTTGATCCTCTCTCCATCATACTAATGGATTCTTCGTTTTCCCTTACCAATGTTGTTGCTGCTGGAATAACCTTCTTCACGCTTTTAGGTTCAATATTCTTCTTGTTTTTTAACATAAAACTCAGATCCCATCAAGAAAGCGAAACAGCGGCTTCTTCTTTATCTCCTTTGTCTCATCCGTCTTCTTTGCCTATCAAAGGGAAACACCATATGTTCGTGAGCTTCCACGGGGCAGATGTCCGCGTGACCCTTCTCAGTCACATTATCGAGTTGTTCAGAAGCAAAGGAATCAGCCCTTTTATTGACAATGATATGGACAGGGGTGTGTCGATCGGCCCTGAGCTCATAGGAGCTATTAGAGAATCAAGGGTTGCGCTTGTCTTGCTCTCGGAGAAATACGCTTCTTCGACATGGTGCTTGAACGAGCTAGTGGAGATCATCAAGTGCAGAGATAAGTTGAAACAAAAAGTGATGACTCTTTTCTGTAAAGTGGATCCGTCTGATGTAAAGAAGCAGACTGGCAAGTTTGGGAAGGTCTTCAAAAAAACTTGTAAAGGTAAAACAAAGGAGGAGATCCAAAAATGGGAACACGCTTTAAAGGAAGTGGCCCAAATCGCAGGTTACCATTCAGGAAACTGGTTCGTACTCTTTCATTTACAACCTCTATATATTTGTAGCTTTTAAATAAGAATTGACATCCTGAAAATCGATATTTGCATAAAATTTTTGTGTTAAAAAATACTGGAGATCGAATAAAAGTGTTGCTTTCTTTCTATCTGTAGATCTACGAATAGTATGAGAACTAGGTTAAGAAGATAAAGATGCTAATGAGAATATACCAATTAGTATGTGCAGTTTTTCAGGAGTATATAACGGAATTATATTTTATTGATCATCCCCTTGTTCAGGGATAACGAGGCCGAGATGATTAAAACAATTGCCACTGATGTATCGAACAAGTTGAACATTTCCTCACCATCACGTGATTTCGAACGCTTAGTTGGGATGGAATCTCATATGACAGAGATGGGACCATTGTTACAGCTAGATTCGGAGGAGGTGAGGGTAATAGGGATTTCGGGTCCGCCTGGGATTGGTAAGACCACCATTGCTAGATATCTATTCGACCGACACTCTGGAGATTTCCAACATAGTCTCTTTATGGATAATATCAAAACAAATTATGGAAAAGCAGCTCGTTCCGATGACTACAGTGTGAAGTTGTATCTACAGAAGCAGCTTATGTCTCAATTAATCAAGGAGGAGGCTCTCGTGATTTCACATCTGGGTACTGTCCAAGACAGGTTAAAAGACAAGAAAGTTCTTGTCGTCCTTGATGATGTGGACCAGTTACTACAACTAGAAGCCATGGCAAATAAAACAACTTGGTTTGGTCGTGGGAGTCGGATTATCATCACAACACAAGATCAAAAACTTTTAAAAGCAAGTGGGGTCAACCATACATACAAAGTGGGTTTACCATCGACTGATAAGGCTCTTGAAATGTTCTGCATGTATGCTTTTGGTCAGAAGAAGCCCGAGGCTGGTTTCAGGGAACTTGCTCGTGAAGTTACAGCAGTTGTAGGTCGACTTCCATTGGGGATTAGGATTATCGGCTCCTATTTTCGGGGGCTGTCCAGGTCCAAGCAAGAGTGGGAAAAGGCACTACGAAGGTTAATGATTCGCCCTAACGGAGATATTAAGAGCATTTTAATGTTCAGTTATGATGCCTTACATGATGAAGATAAAATTTTATTTATTCACATAGCCTGCGTTTTCAAAGGTGAATCAGTTGAAGTAGTGGAAGGCTGTCTTGCAAATAGTTACCCAGACGTGACACTAGGGCTTCGCGTCCTTGCTGAAAAATCCCTCATAGATATAGATTCGGGAAGGATAAAGATGCATGATTTGCTACGCCAACTGGGACGAGAAATTGTGCGGAAACAATCTGTTAGTGAGCCTGGGAAACGCCAGTTTTTGGTTGATGCAAATGATATTGAAAAGGTAGTTAGTGATGATAAAGCCGTAAGTTTGGAAATGGGTAATTCATTGCAGTGCTCTCTACAATTAATTTTGAGATGATTTGATAACTAACCATCTGTATTTGTGTGACATTAGGATACTAGCAGTGTTATAGGAATAAGTTTCTGGTTCAGAAAGGACAGCAACAGCGAGGAGGACATAATATGTACAAGTAAAAGAGCCTTTGAAAGATTTTCTAACCTCCGTTTCTTACAAATCGATGGCAAATACTATAAAGATGCCATCAATCCGCAGAGTCTGGACAATACATCTCGAAAACTTAGATTTCTAAGTTGGAAGGGGTTCGGGATGCCATGTTTGCCTTCTAGTTTTGATCCAAAGTTCCTTGTCAAGCTAGACATGCAGTATAGCAAGCTTGAGAAATTGTGGAACGACGTTCAAGTAAGTAATATTATATTTTATTTCCCTCTACAAAAAAATAATTATTTCATACTTATCTCGAATCTAAAATATCTGTTTTGTAGTACCATATTTTAGTTTGAAAAGTTGAGTTTTGTGACTATAGTGGGTAATAGATAACATAATTTTAGCACTTAGTAAACAAAATCTGATTTTGCGAGTAACTTTTGCAAATGTACATCATTTTCTTATGTGTTTAATACAGCCGCTCATAAATCTCAAGGAGATGGATTTGAGTCGTTCGAAAAGCTTGAAAGAGCTCCCTGATCTCTCAACTGCCACTAATCTACGTGAGTTGAATCTCAGTTATTGCACAAATCTGGTGAAGCTCCCTTGCTCTATTGGAAATGCAGTTCATCTCAAAGAACTGTATCTCTGTGGTTGCTCAAGTCTGGTGGAGCTCCCTTACTCTATGAGAAACCTTTGTAGATTGTCGAAATTGGAACTAAGGGGATGCTCAAACCTGGTGGTAAATCTGGCGAACATCAACTTGGAATCTCTGGAAGAACTCCATCTCTCATATTGCTCCGTGTTAAAAAGTTATCCTGAGAGTTCCACAAGCATCCAAGAATACCACAAGCTAAGTGGAGATGCAATCAAAGATACGCCTTCGCTTGGTCCAAGGATCGGGAGAAGATCTCGTCTGCGTCGACTTGTACTAAGCGGAATGCAGAAGCTGGGGAGAAAATCTCCTTCGGGAATTTCAAACTGTGAAATACAAGAGCTTGGTCCAAGGATTGGGAGAATGTCTCGTCTGCGTCAACTTATACTAAGCGGAATGAAGAAGCTGGTATCACTCCCTCAGCTTCCGTATTCATTACTAGAGCTCGATGCATTTTGTTGCGAATCCCTGGAGAGACTAGATTGCTCCTTTCCCAATCCGGATATTCGTCGTCTCGACTTCACTTACTGCATCAAACTAAATAAAGAAGCCAGAGACCTCATCATCCAGACACCGACTACTGAATTTGCAGTCTTACCCGGCAGAGAAGTGCCTGTGTGCTTCCCTTACCGATCTTCTGGGAGTTCTATAACAGTGAAATTGAATCAAATGCCTCTTGGCTCATCAACCAAATTTAAGGTTTGCATTGTATTTGCTGGTGAGGACGAAAAAGATACCTCTAGCCGACTACTGAGAGGAGGATATGTGTATTACAGCATCACATCGAAACAGAATGCTCTCGGTGAATTTTATAAAGATCTAGGTCCAGTTTTGGGGAAGCATCTGTACATATTCGAGGTTGAAGCAGTGGAGGTGACTTCCACCAAGCTTGCTTTTGAGTTCGGGTACGGCCCACGGAAGGGCATGTTTTCCCTCGAAAGCAAATATGATCCAAGAGAGATAAAAGAATGCGGGGTGCTCCAACTCTTGGAGGTCCCTTAATACATTGACATCTGAGACAAACATTGAAACACAGAGATGCATCCTCAGAATGACACCAGTGCAAAATCACCGGACCTTGTTCCTGAAGATGATGATGATGCTGATAAGAGACGACTTCTTCTGATTCTCTCTCATATTTCTTTTAATAAATTTTGCTTCTACTTCCTGCAATTTCTTGTATTCTAAGTATCTCTAGGGTACTTGTTTGAGTATTGTAATAAACAGCAAAATTCTCAACCAAGAAGAATCAACAAAGAGCATCAAAGCATCAATTCCATATATATCACAGGATAAAAAGGCTGTAAAAGAAAATAACTATACCGCTTCTGGAATTTCTAGATATGGAAAACACAGATGATGAAGCAATTCATTTGGAAAATATTTGGCCTTTGAACTTCAGCCATTAGTTCTAAAAAAATAGAGACTTCAGAATTTTATTCTGAGGAATGTTGGTGAGTACAAGTTATTTGTATAGAAGAATCTAGAGGATCCATGTTATTAATGAGAATATTATGAATATAATTATAGAGATTTGTATTTATGTTAGATGATTCTATTAGATAAATAATTAGGTAAACTCTATCACTATTTAAATGTTTGTACTTTGTATATTCATCTTGATAAGAGTAAATATAATTCTTTCCATTCATAAGCTCTCATCAACTCAATATACAAAGTACAAACATTTATACAGTGATAGAGTTTACCTAATTATCTATTTAATAGAATCCTGTAACATAAATACAAATCTCTATAATTATATTCATACTATTCTCATTAATAACATGGATCCTCTAGATCCTTCTATAATTTGTAGATCGTGATGTTGTAAAAGGCGTGAGATCCATAACTAAGAAAGTGTCGAAGCTGATACTATTTTTATATTTTTATTGTATACACAGACCCAAGCTCGACAAATCTGTAGTATTTGTAAATTCTCAGTGCAGTTCGCCGACAGGAGCTTCGTTGAGCCAGAGGAAGTGGATGGAGTCATACAACTTGGCGCTGACACTAACCTGCAAGCTTTAAGTACGTAAATAATTAGTTATTTAGTTTTATCTCTCAGGGAGCTCTCGCTTGATACAAAACAGGCTTTCTCAGGGTGTTTAGTTGGAATAAATTACCTTATACGGAGTAGGGTTTAATCTTCTCATATGATCAGGCCGCATGTTTTCCAGCTGTTTGATTGATGCAGCGGTTTCTTATCTCTTTCAATGGCTCTAGCTCTTCCCTGGCTTCATTTTCATAGGCAGAAAGAGGAAACTCAAAACATAATCAGTCATAAGCAAATTGTCAGAAAAATCCTCAAGTATGGGGATCTATCCATAAATTAAAGTCAATTGCTAAATAATCTATCATTTTATCACTTTTAAAATTAACCACTTTCTTTCATTTATATCTTTATCAGTTTTATTTATTCACAAAAAATATCATTAAATTATTTTTTTTTTTATTATTTCGTAAATCTATTTTACCAAACAATCTTCATCTTCCTCATTTATTCACGAAAATGTCATCACCATCAATTCACTCAACCACCATTTTCAACCAATTCAAAGCTTTCATTGCTTCAAAGACCCATTTTTAGCTTTGTAACCTCATTTCCTCTTCTCTTAACCTTCTACTCTTCCATTTTTTCACCATTTTCAGTACAAAACTCTCTAATCTAAGTTTTTAAAACTTGGTGTTCTAATATATTGCCATATTTGGTGATTTGGTCTGGCAAATCGATTGGACTTGTTTGGTGGTGGTTGGAATCAAATAAATCGGTGGTTGAAGAAGCTAAATACCACTAGTAGGTGATTTTTTAGTCAATTTTCGTGAGTTTTCATGTCTACTTTCGGTAGTAGACTTCAAAAGAAGTCTGCTGGTCAACACACATGTTAGTTTTGCAATTGACAGTAGACTTCAGTTGAAGTCTGCGCCATTTCCTTTGACAACAAAAAAGTGGTGTAAACTTCAAAAGAAGTCTACGTAAAAAGGCTAGTTTTGCAATTGACCAACCTTTGACTTATTCGTAAGAAGACTACTCATAAAAGTAGACATATTCGGAGAAGTCTACTTTGAAAGTAGACTTCTTAGAGGTTAGTTTTGCAATTGACCAATGTTGACTTTTTTGAGTAGACTTTGCTTGAAGTCTACTTTTCCGAGTAGACTTCGTTTGAAGTCTACTTTGAAAAGTCAACATTGGTCAATTGCAAAACTAACCAAGTAGACTTCTTACAAAAAAGTCAAAGTTTGGTCAATTGCAAAACTAACATTTTTTTACGTAGACTTCTCAAGTAGACTTCTCGGAGGAGACTTCTTTGAAGAAGTCTAGTCATCTTTTGGCAATTGCATAAGTAACCTAAAATATAGACTTCATACGAAGTCTACATTTGTAGACTTCGTTGCTAGTCTACTTTTGTAAACTTCGTTGTTAGTCTACTATTTCACTTTTTTTCATAAACGCGTTTTTATCAAATTTACAACGAATTTTTTAAATTTTTTGGGTCCTATGATTGTTTTAGTAAGTGTACTTACATTTGTATCAGTTTTACATGTTTATATTATATATATTTGGTGAAATCAAGTTTCTTGTTTTATTTGGTATTTAGTTTATTAGTCCGTAGACTTCGTTTGCAGTCTGCGGCATTAATTTTTTTATAAAATTAATTGATCAGATATTTGTAACTAATAAAATTTATTCTTTGACTCTTAAGTGTGTGTTATTTATTGTTTTTTCTTATGTAGGAGTTTTACATGTTTATTTGTTAAAATTTAGCTTTAGTTAATTTTCTTGTTCTATTTGGTAATTAGCTTATTAGTCCGCAGACTTCACTTGAAGTCTACATAGTAGACTTCGTTTGCAGTCTGCAACATTAATTTTTTATAAATTTAATTTATTAGATATTTATAACAAATAAAATTTATTATTTGACTCTTAAGTGTGTGATATTTATTGTTCTTGCTTGTGTATGAGTTTTAAAAAAAATTGTTACAGTTTAGCTTTAATTAATTTTCTTTTTTTATTTGGTATTTAGCTTACTTGACTAGTTGTGGTATTTCTAGGTATTTTTACATGTTTTTTTTTGTTATGAGTTTTACATGTTTTGTAAAATTGAATTAATTTTTTTGTGTTATTAGAGGTTCAAAGATGGTGATGACTAAGTAAGATATAAAAAAAAAGAAGTTTGGTGATATCCATATGTTATGTAATATAAGTATACTTGCGAAGTCTACTAGAGAAGTCTAATCGAGAAGTCACATATAAAGTCTGACAAAGAAATCTGTATATGAAATCTGAATATGATAAAACACACATAATTAAAGAATATAATAAATAACATTTATTGCAATCCAACTTTACATATAAAGTAGACCTTCTAAACAAACAAACATTTAAAGATCACTAATTATAAATCTTAAAATTGGTATATAAAAACAAAATATCTGAAATAGATGATGTGAGTGAAGTCTGCTCGAGAAGCCTACTCGAGAAGCCTGCTCGAGAAGTCTGCTCGAGAAGTCTACTCGACAAGTCTGCGGCTGAAGTCTGCTTCCAACAAAACCAAAGGAGAAATAAATAAGCTCAGGCCTGCACAATAAGAAAAAAAAATGTTAAAATTCATATTTCAACAAAATCTGTTATATTTACAAACATCATATCTGCAGAAAAAAAAGAGAAAAGAAATCAGCTATGCAACAAAAAAAATTCTAGATCTACAACAAAATAAACAAAATCAGATCTGCAAAAACAAAAAAAAATCAAATCTGCAAAAGTTTTACAAAATTTATACAACAATAAACGCATATTTGCAAGAATAAACTCATATCTACAACAAGAAGCTCAAATATGTAATAATAAACCTAGATTTAAAAGATGAACACAAAACAAACAACAAAAGAAACACAAATCCTCAGATTTGTTTACCATCACCATAATTGAGGTAGAGAGGATGGAAGAAAGAGATGAGTTTGATGGCAAGAGAGGAAGGAGAAGAGATTCATGGCGAGAGAGGAGGTAGATGTGAGAGAGGCACTTTTTCGAGAGAGAAAATTTTTTATTTTTAGCCCAATTAGGTTAATCTCCTTATATATGTAGGAAATTTTTCGGTTAAGTAGACCTGGAGAAGTCTACTCGAAAAGTCTACTTCAGTATATTTTTTCGATTTCGATTCATGCCTAATTTATTCCGATTCCCGTCCAATTTGTTAAATAATTTTGATTTTCCGCTATATTTTTTTTAAGTCTACTGGAGAAGTCTGCTGCATACGTTTGTTTACCCTAAACCCTAAATCAAATATTTTTTATATTGAACTTGTATGAAAACATTAATTTTCTTACCATTTTCACATTTTAAAGTTCAAATAACAATGATTAGGACTCTAAATCATTAACCAAACTATAAACTATAATTCATATAGAATTTGGGTTTACCCTAACAATACCCTGAACTTTACATCTCAAACCCAAATCTTTTCGAACTTCAAACCTTAACCCTTTTCAACCTTATACTTATGAAACTTATAAATTGATTTATTTTTATGAAATTTTACTTAATATAGATGCCAATTGTCTATGTTTTGGTTATGTTTATAATTTTTGTATCATAATATTTTTTATAATTTTAGTAAAAAGATTTAATTATGTAGTAGACTTCTATAGTAGACTTCTAAGGGGTTAGATATTTTCTAGTTAATTTTTTTCTGCATTTAAATTGATTCAATTGTATGAAATTTTGTATTCTATACATGTCAAATATATATGTCTTACTTATGTTTACTAATTTTTTTATAAATTTATTTATTTTATATTTTCTAATTAATTTAAAAAAAATTAATTATGTAGTAGACTTTTTTAGACTTCATTAATAGTCTACAAATATAGACTTCTTTCGAAGTCTTCGATTGTAGACTTTTTACGTAGACTTCCAGAAGGATAAAATCGTAACTGTGGCAGATAATTTTTGTTTAGTCACAAAGGACTGAGCTGTAATTTCACTATTCCTTTGGATTAGT